AGGGCAGATCGTGTAACAGGGTGTTACATGGGCATAGGGCAGGTTGTCCATCACTCCTCATGCTGCCACATTCTGGACTAGCTGTAGTTTCTGAATGGTCTTCAAGGGCAGATTTTTCCTTGCCCCTGACATAGTTGGTTGGGTCTCCCTCCAGGGCAGTTCTACCAAGACATCAGCCACTGTGTCTACAGCCACCACTCACACTTGGTTTCAGATGGGTCATCAGGTTGACAGTGAGGCAGATACTAGTGTCACAGGTACGTAATAGCTGATACATCCTCCCCCTCCTCTCCACCCTGTTCCAGTCCTAGCTCCACATCATCCTTTGAATGCTTTGAGGGCAAAACCTGTTGCCTGAAGGAGAACTTCCCTTGCTATTGCAGACCCCAACATCTCACTCCCTTGGATTGACTCTCCAGAGCTCCATGAATACGAAGAAGTAAGAGGCCCTAGGAGATATGAGGAAATGGGATCACTATATGATGAATGGAACACTAACGATGAACCATGGATCAACGAATATGCAGTGAGTACCTTGACAGGGCGTGTGCAGGCACATGTGAAACCATTTATTTCTGTTTCCTTTTCAAATTGCAGCAGAGGGATTTTTAACTCACCCACCAAGGGTTTCCTGCATTCCCTTATTCCTACCTCCATCGACATGCACTTAAGAATTCGTTCCCTGTGTTCATAGTATCCATGTGACTAGTTCAGTTAGCAGGTGCATTCACTTAACATGCCAAGCTTGATTACTGTTAACCTTGGTTAATTCTGGGGGGCTTACTCTTTTAGCCACACTCAGCCCATATGGTCAGTTTATGCTTCAATATATTCCATAAGCCCAGCAAGTGGGTTTATTCATTAACCAGGCCAGGCATGTTTGGTGAGCACAGCCCACAGAAAATGCCTTATATATGGTCAAACCATTGATCCCTGTAGCCCAATATTTTTTATTCCAGCCTGTCCCTGATCTAGTACCCACCAAATGTTGACCGTTTCTAGATATCCCCATAAGAACTGACCATGTTGTTGGGAAATCTAGAAACTGAAGTCCAACACATCTGCAAGATGTCTGGTTGGGAACAAGGGCTAATTAGCAGTGATTCTCCAACTTCTCTAGCAGAGGTCTTTAACACTGCACCTGCCATGCAGTTTTTTTTTTTTAAAATCCAAATGCCAATGATGGGGCACACAGAGCATGAGCCCAACCCTTAAGCCATGCCCTCTTCCCCAAGACTGATTTCAGATGGAACCCAGCTGCCTTTCCCAGTTCCAAGAAACAAAGCCCTATGGGTAGCAGACTTTCCATTATTTAAGAGTTTAACTCAGGAAGACCAGTGGTCTGTGTTTGACACGCCCCTCCAGCATCTTGAAATCATGCCAGCAAATTTCAGCAATAAAATGGATGGACTTTGGTGGTATAATTGTTTTTCCTTCAAAACAAAGGGTGGGAGAGGAGTATTTCAAAATTAGATTTTGAATTAGAAATTAGGGTTAGAGGATCAAATGGCTGAATGTAGTTTCTTCAAAATATGGTCTTGATCTGTAGCATTTGAAGGCCTTCTTGATCATTTTAATGAGTGGAATATTGGACGTCTTCTTGGAAGTCTTACCCTGGTGGTGATTTCTGAGATAGTCCTGTTGTGTTGTCCTCTGTGGTTACTGATCAAAGGTACAGTAGGTTGCTCTACCAATGAAGTTCTATTGATGGATAGCTCTGTCCTCCCCTCTGTCTTAATACTTTAAAAATAACATGGAATCTTACCAGATCTGATTCCTTGTGTTTAGCATGCCTATCAAGGGATTGGAAGATGGCCAGATGCCTCTGCAAAGACAGCACAAATGTATGACTCTGGAGCACACTATCTGCCCCTGGATATACAGCTGCCTTTTGAACAACAAGGGGAGCTAGTCTAAGTAACCTACTTTGTGTTTCTCTGACCCACCATCCAGGATTGCGTTGTCTCCTGATAACTTAAGTCTTAGTTCCTTCATTTTATCCTTCATTTCCTTCTTATCAATATAGAGAAGCTATATCTAGTGTGCAGTCTTTTGAAGGGATCATAATATAGCTAAGCCTGGGTTAGCAAAACACAGTTGCTGGGGTTAAAAAAACATGCTGTACTCAACAAATAAAAGATAACGTGACAGCCTCATTTTGACTAACTGCTAACACAGTGGCCGATGTCTGAACCACAAATGATCTAACCTCATATTAACTGAGTCTAGTGTGTTTGGCAAACCAGCCAAGGGCGAGCATTCCCAATGGGGATCAGATGCCTTGGATTCTCCCCAGCTGTCACTTTCCACGGCTAGTTGAACTGTGTTAATCTCATCCGGGCTTAATAAAAATGGCAACTTTAAGAATTGCTACTTATCCTTGAGTTTTGTCCCCAACCTCCTTCTTGCCTTGCTTGTGTGTGTTGTCCTTTATAGTCTAAGCCTCGGGGCAAGGACGTTTCCACCACTCAGCTGCTTGGAGTGTCTTTTGGCTAAAAAGCTAGGTTCAAAATGCAACAAATCAATAAAATATAAATAAGCCAAAGGCAGACCAGACCTGGCTCACACATTTTGTACTGGGGATAGATAAGACACCATGAACCAGAGTCAAGTGAAGAGGGTGAAAAAAGGATGCTTTTTTATTACCACCGTTAGCACATTTCCACTCCAACAGCATATGCTCTGTAGTACAGCCGGCTTGATCTCTCCCCTGTTCAAGTATCTAGTCTTGCAAGCTTTCATCATGTTGAACACAGAGGTATGCATATGGACATAGCAGACCCTAAGCAGACAGTGGGTGAAAGCCTAGACATCTATTCCTAACCATGGCAATGTTAAAATGATGAAATAAATGTGCATCACGATGCAAGCTCTGCCCTCCTCAACCTGCGTTGTGAGATCACATCTCAGGGGGCACGGTGGGTGAAAATACCTTGTCGGCTTTTCATGTGTTGGCTACATTCACACAATAGGCTTAACCTGGCTACTAAATTAACCCACATTTTGGGTTTGCATTCTTGGGCCTGGGTTCCTATAGTACACTAAGGCGTAAGGAGCTAACCCCAGTTAAAACTAGGCCAACTTTGTTCACAGATGGGTTGGGTTTGCAGTGGACCTGGTTAAGCTGCTTGTGTGAACACAGGCTAGAAGGAAAAATTCAAGCAACATTGGGGTCAGTTTCTCCTGCAGCACAGCAAGAATAAAATGCCCTTGTCAAAATTCTCTCTCTCTGCTGCATGATTCCAGCAGTTCCAAGAGAGGCTGACTTGGGCTCTGACCACCAAACGAGGGGAAAGACGACCAATTCCTACTAGATACCTGGAGAACAGGAACTGAGTTGGCGGGTGGGGGGAGAGCAAAGGAAAATGGGGAATGGTTTTCCCACTTTGTGGAGACACAGCTTCCAGAAATGGAAGGAAGTTAACACAGTCTCTGAGAAGAGCTCAAGACTGCTTCTTTGGCCCATGTAGGGTTTTAAAGGAAGCCAGAGATGGCTTACAGCTTTCTGGACACAGATGCTGTGAGAGGGTGTAATGCAGGCCGAAGCCTAAATAATAGTCATTTTAAAAAGCAACATCCCAAGCGATCCTGGCAGCTGGGAACACGCCCGCCTCCCCTGAGGGTCTCAGGATAGTTCTGGACAACCGAGGAGAGCAGTCCAACTGCTTTTATTTGCCTCTGGCTAATTTGAGGCATAATGAATAGCAGTGCCAGCAGATTCCTCTGTAAGAGGACTCTCCTGCCTTAAAAGGGCAACTTGGCATTAACGCCAACTTCATAGCGATGATGTCCCCATCCCTGGGAAAAATCCTGGGAATTTCAATTTGCTGGGCGTGCCAAGACTTCAGTTAGAAGCCCCAGACCTGCTCATAGAATAACGCTTCCTTGGATTCTCCACATGACATGGATCCAGACTGAACCCAATTTCATTTTGAATCAGACGCATAGGGTAATATATTTTGCCGATGTCTACGCAGGGAAAAGAGACATTCCCCAGCAGTCGTCAGACAGGGACCTACATGGTAGAATTGTTCCCCGCTTGAGTAGTTCTTAAGAATAGCACAAAACCCCTCGTAGGACCCATTGTTGGCTGGATCCGACAGGGCTGGTCTAAAGAGAGTTCAATCTTATATCTGCTACTGAGGAGTAAGCCCCATAGAATTCAATGGGGCTTTTTTTCCTGAGTACTCATATATAGGATTGGATTGTCAGTTTTGTCTTAAGTAACGACCCAAACTAGACCCACACGATATGATCTGGGTTTTCAGTGAACCAATGTGGTTCAAGTAAAAAAAAAAAAAAGGCTCAGAGGTTCAACAAACCAATATGATTTAAGAATAATAATAACAAAAAGATTCAAGTGTTCTACGAACCAATATGGTTCAAGTTAAAATCCATTTCATAGAAATGATTAAAGTGCAGCAGAGAAGGAATAAGGAGGGCTCCTAATTATACAGAATGTCGAGAGAACCAAATTAGGGAGGTAGTTGGATGCAAGAATTCAGATCAGCTTTCCTTCAAATGTGCGGTGTGATGGACTCCAACTTGGAACAGCCCAGAGGGTGCCAGGTTGGAGAAGGCTGACCCAGACGCTCAGCCCTTTTCTTGCTGATGACATGGAACTTCATGGGATTGCGTGGTGTGTGCATCTGGGGTGCCACCAGCCTGTGGTGGAAACAGTGATGATGGAGGAGATAAACCTAGATTCTCTGCTGATGGGACAAGGTTGCCGTGGGTCATCTCTGCAACTGACCCACGGCACCACCATCTACTAGGAGCAGACGCTTTTGTGTAAAGCCGCAAAATTCAGCCTGGTGTCCAAATCCTCATCTAATAACTTAATTAAATATAGCAAGAAGAAGACAAGGATTCCATGGGGGACATGGGAAGAACAGAAAATAGAAGAAAGAATGATATTCATGCTTCCTCACTCTTCAAGGTGGAGAGAAAGAGACAGTTTGGTCTCCCTCTATCCAGGAGGATTCCGCCATGAAAGGCTGTCAGGTGAAGGATGGGGGATACACCAACCCAGGGCCTGAGCGACGGCTCCGTAACAAAAGACGTAGCTAGAGAGAAGAGGAGACAAGAGTTGTCAAAGCTGCACTTTGGTCCTCAACCTTCTGCCTGTTCCCCAGTCCTACCCTAGATCATTCAGAAGCCCAACTCACCTGTTCAGCTGCTGGTCCTGAAGTCAACAGGTGAACTGGCTGCTCGTTCTCTGGGTTGCGGGCACTGGGATCAGCCCAGTGGTCTAGTAGGAGGCGCACAATTTGTTCTTGATAGGGGTGGCCGTGGAGACCAGCAGCCATGTGCAGAGCAGTGTTGCCATGGGCCTGAGGATAGACACACCCCTTGGTCAGCCTGCATAAGAGGCAATGCTCAGCTTATCATCTTCTTATCAAGAGGGGCAGATAGGGCAAGCCATACATTGGAAAGGCATACGCCATGGGTGATGGACCTGAATCTGGGAACTGTACCTTCTTTAGGTAGCAAGACTCCCATCCCAATCTCAATTCCACATGCAAAATTAATGTTATGGCTCTTAAGGTATAGCAAGATGAGAAAATCATTCATGCATCTCCAATAATACTGCCAAGCCACCCACGCAGTTCTCATCTGTTTGACTTCTGCACCACATGTTGTAGATATAGGGTTTTTTTTCCCCTTGCAGCTGAACAGGCAACTGGTCTTAAAAGGAGAAGTACCTTGTCCAAGACACCATGCCATCAGCAATCATACTGTGTGTGTGTGTCTGTATTTCTCCCCCAATCAAATGCC